TATCATCCTCATCGTACAATTGTTCGTCAACTTTTAAGATCTCTTCTGCAGTTCGAGGAGTGTCAGTTCGGACAGCTGGAGTTGAACTAGGTGGATCTGGGTTAGGATGCGGTTGTGGCAGACGTCCCTCTCAACCTGCAACATCTCGTACGCGTCTCTCTGCGTCTGTTCCTTTAAGAGAGAGAAAGAAAGTAATAGAGAGAAGAAGAGAGAGAGAGAGCTAGTGAGAAATATTGAGAGAGAATGAGAGAGAATATGACAAAAAGGGGAGGGTTCTGAGTGCAGGAAGATGAAAATGAATTTGAAAGATAACTAAGAAAAAATTATTCAATGGATGGTTGAATGAATGAATGAATGAATGAGTGAATGAATGAATAAATGAATGAGTAAATGAATGAAAAAGTAAATGAATGAGTGAATGAGTCTGACTTCTTTGAGCAATTTATCGAGGAAGAGTAGTTTCTGCTCCTGCTTCGACTTCAATGCCAACTCCACTTGTTCCGAATACTCATTCCATCTATGATGATGGCGATGATGACGATGAAAATGAGGATGGTCATCATGATTGTCAAGTCGGTGGTAATGATGACGATTTTGATTGACCTTCAGCAAGCTAAGCATCATCCAATGAGCGGGAAGTACATTTTTTTAACGACCAACCAGCCAACCAATCAACCAACCAATCAACCAACCAGCCAACCGAACAACCAACCAATCAACCAACCAACTAACTCATTGAGAGATTTTTCAATGTCAACCTTTCTTTCTTCCATGTACCTTTTAATCATGAGGCCCAAGATGTCAGAGTGATCCAACATTTTGTCGAAAGATTCTAAATACATCGGTTAATCAATTGGTCAATCAATTGGTCAATCAATCAATCAATCAATCAATAAATTAAACTGTTAATTAAAATAGAAAATATTACTTTTTAAATAATTAAATTGTATTATTCTTTAGTTTATGTAAATTTTTTAGAAAATTATAAAAAATGATTATGATTGAAGATGAATGAATGAACGAACTACAAAGGAATGGATGAATGAATGAATGAATAAAAGAACTACAAAGTAATGGATGGATGAATGAATGAATGAATGAATGAATGAATGAACGAACAGACCAGCAATGTCCTTTTTCCTTAGATTGTTCAACTCCTCTTGTCTTACTATGTACCATTGTTCTTTTTCCAACCTATTGTAAGAAATTTTTCAACCAATCAATCGATCAATCAATCAGTCAATCAATCAATCAATCGATCAATCAACCAAACAACCATCCAATTAATCAATCAATCGTTCATTCATTCATTATTTATAAAACATGAAACTAATCAATTAACCAGCCAACCAACGAACCCTTCAATCAGTCAATCACTTTACTAACTAGCCGTCAAGTAACCAATCAAATCAATCACTCAACCAACTAATTAAACACAATTAAATATAAGTTCACTTTTCTTTCTCCATAAGATCGAGTAATTCCTCAGTTCGTCGAGAGCTTTCATTCGTCTCGATGAACTTTTTCACCAGATTTAACGTATTCTCCTCCACTTTTAAATTATAAAAAATATAATAATAATAATAATAATATTATTGTTATTAATAACAACAATAATAACAAAATAATAACCTGTCCTCAGAGATTCAATAAGTTTGCTACGCTCTAGGTGCTTCCTCACGTGCACATTCTGCATATCCTCATTGTATCTCGTGTTTTCCTGTGTATGTGTGTGCGTGCGTGCGTGTGTGTTATAATAATAATAATAATAATAATAATAATAACAATAATAATAATAATAACAACAGCAACAACCCCGTCCTTGTTAAGATCGTTTGGAAATTTTTTTTGCTGGCAGAGGCTGCTTGGGCGGTGAGAACAACAACAACAACAGCAACAACAATAATAATAATGATAACAACAACAACAACAACAACTTCGACCTCGTTGAGATAGTTGAGTAGTTGTTTCTTGTTGGCGGAGGCTTGGGCAGTGAGGACTGCCTGCTGTCTGTAGTCGTCATCCAGTCTCTTCTCCAGGGCCACTCTTTCTTGCCGCTTCAACTCCTTCGCATTCTCGTACTCTTGCAACGTTAACTGTAGTTATAACAATAACAACAACAACAACAACAACAACAACAATAATAATAATTATAATAACAAAAGAATAAAGTTAACATTGAGGGCAGAGTCACTGTGTGAGAAGGCATTGAAGATGAAATTAGTGCTATTGTAGGAGGCTGACATCGGTGAAGTTGGCAAGGAGATCGTCATGACGTGAGGAATGGACGATAATATCAACGATGACGGCGATGACGACGATGGTGCCGCGTCCACCTCGGGTGGGACGTATTGTAGGTTGCATTCTATAGGGGCCCCAAAAAGAAATTTATTTTACTATTTTTTCTGTTTTTCTTACAAGAGTTTGTGGTGTTTTTTGTATAATTTTGTATTGTATTGTATTTTTTTTTACAAGAGTTTGTGGTGTTTTTTGTATAATTTTGTAGTTTATTGTATTTTTTTTACAAAACTTTGTGGTGTTTTTTGTATAATTTTGTATCGTATTGTATTTTTTTTACAAGAGTTTATAGTAAAAAGTGGCAACCAACCTTTGCAGAGAAATTTCATGATAGATGGGAGGCCCTCACTACATATGCCTGCATTTTTTCAAATTTATAAGAACTCAAAAAATTTAATTAAATTTTCAATTTTATGTATCTACACACATACACACACACATACGCACACACACAGATTCAACAAAACATTCAGTAAAACAAATTTATTTTGAACTGTCATAGCTCGTACTTTTATCAGGGTAGGCCATGTGATTGACATCGAGGACGAGTTCCGTGAGTTTCCTCAAAAAAGACACCTCTTTAGGCAGTGTGGTGATCCTATTCATCGACACATCCAGGGATAACAGCGATGGTAGTTTGGTTAGAAGTGGTGGAAAGGTTGAAAATGCATTTTCTAATTTTGAGAATTCAAAATTTCTAAATTATTTTTTAAATATGACATTGATTATTTTATTTATCATATAAATAAATATTTGATTTTATTTTTAAAAAAATTATGATTAAACAAAATTTTTTTTCCCAAAGAACTAACTCTTCAAATTGAGAAACTGCAACGAGATTAGTTGATCAAACGTGGAAGGGAGCAAAGAAATTTTGTTGTCTTCCAAATTGAGCACCTTAAGGTTTTTCAACCACGCTATCTCGTGTGGGATTGTCTTCAGTGCATTTGAATGTAGATCTAATACCTATTTAATTTTGAGAGTAAAAATAAAAATGAACGAAAAAGAATGAATGAAAGAAAGACTGAATGAATGTGATAAATGAATGAAAAAAAGAGTAAATGAATGAATTAGTAATGATATTTTAAGATAATTTTTTGAAAAAAGTACTAGAGAAACCAGAAAAAACCTTTAATAGATAAAGATCTTTCAAATCGACAGCTTTCAATAATTTTATATTGTTACATTGGAGGAAAAGCGACTGCAGTGCGTGAGAAAATTGATTTTTAATTAAATTTCAATTCAATTTATGTAACTAAATAAATAAATTAAAAATATTACAACAAAATAAATAATAATAAAGATATAATAATAACAACAACTACTACCACTTCTGCTACTACTACTACCACCACTTCTACTACTACTATCACTAATAATAATAATAAATAAATAATTAAAATAACAAATAAATATGAATAAAAAATTTTAACCTCTTTTTGGAGGACTTTACATAAGGGGGTTACACCTGTTGGAATCTAGAAAGAAATAAAAAAATATATATCCATATTAAAATAATTACAACATTAATTTTATAAATGTTGTTATTATTATTATTACATTAATTCCTTATTATGCCTAATTTGCAATAAAATTTAATAAAATTACCTAAAAAAATATTATTAATATTATTATTATATTTAAAAGAAGCTATAATAATAATTTATAATATTATTATTATTATATTCAAAAGTAAATATAGTAATAATAAAAATAATAATAATAAAAATTTGACTAACTTCTGATAAGTTGCAAGATGATAAATCATATATTGGCTCAGGGGATTCTTTAGCCTGTAGAAAAAATTATGAACAAATAAAATTATATTTTATTATGATAACTAATGAATGTACTACATTTAATTTTTAATATACAAATTGTATAACACACACGCACACACGCACAAACAACAGTAATAACATATCATATAATAATCTTTCTATTATTATTATTATGGTCAATAGTGTGTATAGTATATTATTATAGTATATTATTATAGTTTGTAAAGTTTTTTTAAATATAAAAGTTTTTGAGATAGATTGTAGAATGTTTAAAACATTAATTACAGGACTTCACACACAAACAGCACAGGCACATACACACATTGTACATACAAATCCACACACTCTTGGTTACTAGTAACTTCCTTAATTAACCTAACTTCCTTTTACAGTAAAAGTTTTACTAAAAGTCTCTAAACTAAAACTAACCAAGTACATCTGTTTTTGAAATCTTTTTTTAAACTCCTCATCTGTCTTCTTTTTATTGAACATTTTTAAAATTAAGCAACGTAAATTCAAATCAAACAAAAATGAAAAGTGTATGAAATGAATGAACTGAATTTGAAAATGATTTAAAAATCAAAACAAAATCCATTCATCAAACATTTTGTGACTAAAAATTTGGCAAAAAATCGCAAAAGTTTCAATATATTTTAAAACTTTCTGTTAAATAATATTCGAAATTAACTAAATTTTAGAAATAAAACCACGTTCGACACTCAAATGAGAAGGATGATGGTTAAATAAATTTTTAAGACTTGTTTACAATACAAGTTGCAGAAGGGCTCGGCCTATATGGCATCCTTGGCTTATTGGTGTAATGGCTTACATACGAAATTGCAAAGATTCATATATATTTAGAATATATGATATATATATATATATATGCATGGATTTCAGCAAACAACTGATACAAAATATTTACTTGACTAATTATTTTTAAAACAAAATAATTAATTGCATTATGTAATTATTTTTGCAAGTTTAAATTAAAATATTGCTTTTTGTTTCGAAAAGACGGTGGCTAACCCACCGCTTAATAAAGCCATCGGTAAGATACTGGGCCACGTGATGGCTCAATAGTTAAAGGTGTCTGGTTTTGCTGCTGCAGTGACTGGGTGCGAATACGAAGAGATTCCCACCTATCACATGCAGTGTGTATGATGCGTGGTTTGCACGCGTATTTATATACGCTTGTGTGTTTGTCGTTGAAACCTCTGAAGCAAGCACAAAAGAGAGAGTAACTTTTATAACCTTTAAGCTTACATACGAAATTGCAATGTTTTCATTACAATTGACAAAATAATTTCAAATTATATAGTTGAAGGTTCATTGGTTAATTAGTTGATGTTTGATTGGTTAGTTAAATTAATGATTAATTGATTGCTCGATCAGTTGATTTGATTCAGCGGTTGATTGATTCGTTCATTTGTTAATTGACTGGTTAATTGATAGTACAGTATCAAGCAGTATCTTATTGAACAGGATATTATCATAAAATGAAGTAAGTTACTTTTATCAATAATTTTAAAAATTTCTCAATTTAATTTTATTGCGGTATGGATGATGATGATTGTGACCTGACTGAAACTTTCAAAGTAGGATGGGTAATTCGCTGCGAAATCGTTGAAGGAAATGACGTCATGTTAACAGTAGTTATTTAACTGCATGGTAGTGATTTAGCCGGTATAAAGGTTATATTCGATTCCTATCAAATAACTTTTACCAAATATCATATGCACGTAAAACTAAATAAAGAAATAAATAGATAGATATATGTATGCTATATTTTTACGTTCAAATTGTACAATTGTGTTATGGTGTAGTCTCAAACTATTTTGAATTCTCTCAGAAAAATTTAAACTGCGTGCGTACATAAATTAAATTAATTCCTACTGTTGTTTTATAATGGGTTTATATAATGTCAGAAAGTTTCGAAGGATCGTTCGTTAACGTCAAATTAATTTGATTAAGATTGTTGTGTTGTTAATTTTGTATAACTTTTCATTTTCTTATTTCTCTCATACCCTACTTGATAACATTCACACATACACAAGCACATACATAATCCAGTACGTGATGTTTTTTATTTGTCAAAAACACACCAGTAGAACCAACCTTGACATTTAAAATATTTTTAATTTAACTTCATGCACTTTCTGGCAGCTTCAGACTTTAACCTGCAATTGGAAATTTTTTTATTGCAACACAATTATCAAATCGAAAATATAATATGTACGTTATCAGAGCTGTCGGTGGAATTTGAGTGCGACATATTCCCATGGCTACTTTTTTCAAAATATAACATGTTACTTAATAATACGAAATAATACGTAGAGAAAAGATGAAATCATTTAACGGCAAAGTTGGTCGACGCTTGACTGAGTGCACGCCGAACACGGGCGTCCTTTTTCAAATGATTTCTGCTTTTCATAGTTCCTGCTGTTGATCTACTGGACAAAGTTGCACTAGTGAGAATAACAAATTTTATTGTCATTGAGTTTTTCATTGACTGAATACTGCTGCAAACAGAAATTAAGTGAATTTAAATTTACCAATCAATAAATCAATCAATTAGCTTAAAAAGCGCTATTTCCGCGATGTTCAACAGCGCTCCTCAATGAATTTTGAAAACAGATGGGTCTTGAGATCCGCTCTGAACTTCGCAAGTGATGGAGAAATAGTTAGAGAAGTAGGTAGAGAGTTCCAGAGAAAAGGACCAGAAAAGCAAAAGCAGATTTGGCAAAAGAGTGTTTAACACGAGTTAATAAAAAGCGAGAAGAAGAAGACGATCGTAAACCGGGGCGTTTAGGGTCAATTAATATATCTGATAAGTACTTAGGAAATAATTTAGATTGAGACTTATACATGAACATGCAAATTTTAAAAATTATTCTATATTTTATAGGTAGCCAGTGCAAGAGAACAAGATATGGAGATATATGAGAAAAGAAAGGGGCACGAGCAACTAGACGAGCAGCAGAGTTAAAAGCTTTACTTAAAGGATAGAGTATAGAGTCAGGAAGACCATAGTAGAGCGAGTTACAATAATCAATCCTAGATAAGACTAACGAAGTAACAAGAAGGAGAAGAGTAGGATCATCAAGAAAAGGCAAAAGTTTTTTTATTCTACGTAGATGAAAGTAAGAACTTCTAGCAACACTATTAATCTGAGAAGAGAGAGACATAGTAGAATCAAAGATAAAACCTAGACTGCGAAACTTATGAGAGACATCAAGAGTTTTAGAATCAGGTAAGATAATAGGAGGAATAGTAATTGAGTGTTTAGATTTATTAAAACAAATTAATTCAAACTTAGAAGGATTAAGTTTAAGACACATAGAATCAGACCAAGCGATAATCGAAGAAAGACATAGAGATAAATTATGAAGAACACTATTGAGATTAGATGGAGGAAAAGAAGTATAAATATAAGAATCATCAGCATATAGTTGACTAGAGAAAGAAAAGTTATTAATAATACGAGGTAGTTCAGAAGTATAGAGTATAAATAGAAGAGGGCCAAGGATAGAACCCTGAGGTACCCCGAAAGTAAGAGTAGAGGAGTTAGAAGTAGAATTATTGAGAACAACAGAAGAAAAACGATTACAGAGATAAGAAGAAAACCAAGATAGACAAGAATCAGTAATATTAAAAGAAAGATGCAGCAGTCTCAACAGAATAGTATGGTCAACAGTATCAAAAGCTGAAGAAAAGTCAAGAGCAAGAAGAAGAGTAAGATTACTATTGTCACTAGAGAGAAGGATATCATTGTGTATTTTAAGTAAAGAAGTTTCAGTACTGTGAGCCGGTCTGAAACCAGATTGAGATACAGGTAGCAAAGAGTTAAAGTCTAAATAGGATGAGAGTTGATTAAAAACAACTTTTTCTATTATTTTAGAGATGAAAGTAATATTAGTTACAGGTCTATAATTAGATAAAGAGGTAGGATCTAGGGATGTGTTTTTAAGAATAGGAATAACAATAGAATTCTTATAAGAAGTAGGAAATTTAGAGGTGGAAAGAGATAAATTAACTAATTTGAGAATGATTGGATAAAATATTGAAGAGAATTCTTTAAGTAAATTGGAAGGAAGTAGATCTAGAGAACAGGTTGTAGACGACATAGAATTAATAATTTTAGTTAGTTCTAAAAGATTTATTGGAGTAAATACAGAGAAAGATTCAGTAGTAAGTTTAGTAAAGTTATGAGAAGGAAAATTAGAATTAGATGTTCTTAAAGAAGTAATTTTATTTACAAAAAAGTCATGAAACTGTTGAGCAGAGAAAGATGAGTGAGAAGATTTTTTATGTAGAAGTTTAGATAGAACAGACCACCTATTTTTAGATGTTGAAGCAGATGTTATAGAATTTCTAAGAAAAGTAGAGTGTTTAGAGAATAGTAGATATTTATAATTAATCAATTCAGATTCATAGATAGAATAAAGAGAGTTAGATGGATTTAACCTATAGGCTTTCTCCAGTCTTCTAAG